TTGAAGGCTCAAGACCAAAGGGTTCTTGTTCTCACAAACTTATTTAATCGACTCAAAAATGTTATATAGAGCTCTAACCTTTAATTGGCCCTTATTGGTTTATTTCCTCAAATTCTTTTAAGACCCAAGGATTTTATTAATCTTCAACCAAGGATTGGTTTATGGCACAGTATAAACATATACAGTAGGTTGTCTAAGGCCGCCCGCCGAGTTATTAGCCTACTCTTGCGTTGATCCCCAGGGTTGTCACTTTTACTTTTAGTTAATATTTTCGAACAAGCAGCACTTGATCTAAATTTATGAAATGAAAAGCATATTATGATTGAATATTTTATCAATTTATAAATTTAGTAAAAATAAAAAGCTTATAAAAAGATTATTAACTTCTTAAAATAAACTTTAGCTCTATACATAGTATTCAGAAAGTAAATTTGGGAATACATTTATATGGAAAAATGCGACTCGGCTACGTTCTTAACAAATCAGATAAACTGTGAAATAAACAATACAATACCACATTTTCTTATAATATTTAAGTATAGTAGGTAATTACATTTCTGGTTGAGTAGGAACTATGAAGAATGATAAGAGTAAGAATAAGTAAGTAGGTATCTCATCATCAAGTACCTACAAATTATATTATGCTAGAAAAAGTGACTAACTTACCTTTCCTGTTCAATAGGTACCTAATCTAAACAGAGACAGTTCTGGAATCAATTAATTATTAAGACACCCAAACAATACGTTCTTCTACGATTATCAGACATTTTTTATTTCATTGAACAGTGCCGAAAAGCCGTGAAGCGCGCGCGAACCTCGTGCAGTGTTAGCCCTGCCTGGCGCACTGAGAAACGGGTCGAGAGTTTGTTAAAGTGTGCGTGCGTCGACGCATAGATACTATGGCGCACACATATAAGCCGCGCGCGGAGCATTTGTATGAAGATAACCTACTTTGTTCTTTATACTATGTTTATGGTTCCCTTTGAGGGAGTTATTTTTGGCATGCATCTCGTTAAAATTGTGAAAAAATATTGTCTTTATAAAAGAAGTAAAGCGTTTTAAGCTTTTATTCAACTCTAGTGTTGTGATGTGCTTATGTGAGTGACATGGATTTTTGCGACTGAATTTTAAGGCATATATCTTCAACCTATTGAGCTGAAATTTTGTATACATATTTAGTTTGTATGAACATAAATTCTTAGCTTGTTTTTTTATTAAATTAATTTATATTTCATCTAACAATTTTTAGATTTAAATATAAAAATCTTCACCTCAAAAAATTTTGTTTTTCAATGATGTAGAATTCTCTAAAACGCCCACGTCTCACCAATTTTATACCGTAACAATATCCATTGTTTAGCTTCATAGTAATATATTTTTTATTCTTTTATAATCCACAATGTTTTTATGTCATACGTGTTTGACATTGTGATATGTCCACTAAAAATAGAATTATTTTGGATAAGCTTAATCACCTACACGGCTAGTGTTGTAGGTTTATGTTGCTTCATTTTGAATGATACTAAATAATAAAATGATATAGACACACCCAAGTACCTACACACGTAAACAAAAAAAAAATAGCAAAAACTATTTTCTTTTTGTCAGCGTTTTTGGGAGCTTTCCATTGCCCTGTATAGAACAGAGATAGAAGGTACATAATCATGATTACAAGCACTTATTACAAATAGCAATCTAACGTAAGTGCACGTTTTAAAGATATTTATTTTCCTAAGGAAGTAATTTCTATCCGTCTTGTTTGTTTTGGTACGGCACGTTAGATCTACGACTGTTTGTTTTAGTACTGAAAATGAGATCCTTAAGTGCAATTTTAGGATCGGAAAATATTAATGTAGGCACTATAATTTGTAATAACATCGTGAGACATACTAAATTAACTAAAAATCGCAGGTTACTCACGTGAAAATACTGAGAAAAGCTCTACTAGTTTCGAACCACAGAGAGCTTCTTCCTCATGAGTAGGGTTCCCTCGCGACCGCAGGGTTACTGACTCACGTGAGTAATTTTAGTTTAGTTAACTATAATTTGTAATGTAATTGTCTTATAAATGACATAGAAGTAATAACATAATGTATATTGTATTGTAAGTATATTAAATATTTCCATCTGCCTATTGCTATAATAACAGCCTTAATATTAGATTATACTTATAAGGTGTTTATTACATTACACTTTCTAAATAAGTATCTGTATTACCTAAATAGAAAATATAATACGTAATTCCTAAACATAAATTCGTTAAAACAGGGTGTTATAAAAAATGTAATGAAGTAAAACGCGTATAGGGTAATTGATATTTAGAGGTACTCCGGTTTCATTTCGAAAAATCGTAAATTGGTAGCTGCTATCATAATAAAGTCTTTTTATTATGAAGTAATATCAATCTACCTTTGATCTCGCTACTTTATTTTGACGTGCTTAAGTATTGCAATCACTTTAATACTCTTTCGGGCGTTGGTTACCTTTTACGCGAGGCCGTATCCCTTAACCATAATGTAAAAATATAATAAGTATATTTCATATTTTTTTTACTTTACTGGGTCTAGTATCATGGAGTTTTTATGTTAATATCTTCTTCCAATTTTACTTATACATATATTTCTTTTTTACTTAGCATTTCGCAGGTGGTCCTATAAGATATCAATCCATCAAATGTATCTAGACATACAAAGTTTATATAAAAACTTTCGTGTGACATACTAATTATTTATTATGTTTTCGGCTTACTCACGTAACAGCGCGTTCATCAGTGATAGTCGCGGCGGCCCTGGTCGCGGAATGCTGCTCATGAATATGAGCCTCTAACATGGCTTGAAACTAGTCGAGTTCCTCATCAAATAGTTGGAAGCCGAAAACATAATAAATATATACAAAGTTATCAATAAAAATACCCACCTAAAATGAACTTAACACTGATAGGTTTGTTTTATAGTGTCAGAAGAAGTGTCATCAACTGACCTACATACTGACTCATTTCGTATTGGAAACACGTCAAATTATCCGTCAGTTAGACTAACAAAAACGTAATCAGTCATTGTGAAATGGGCTTTAATTCCCCTGAACTATACGATAGCGCTAAGGATACCGTAGTTGGGTACTTGGGTACGAATCTCGGCTTAAAATGTCGATGGGGAAGGGAAAGGCAACATGGGGTAGTTGGATCAGATCTTAAATTATTTAAGGGCCTTTTGGATTACGGGCTTAACTTGAACTGGAGTGAAAGTCCAATTCCGTAGAGAGTTGACTACAGCATCGCACATTGATATGTAAGGAGCAAGGAGTTCGACACGTTTGGAGTAATGTTTCCGGGTATACGGGATCTCAAAGAGACTGAGAATACTTTATTAGTATTGAGACGGTGAATACTGATTTGTAGTAAAAACTGGTGGTACTTTTTTCTTTTTTATTAGGTATTGGGAAAATATATCGAAACTTAAGCTTTTAAAGAAAAAGGTAGGGAGTGCAGGATCTTTATACTTCAATGGACTAGCCTGGTGGTCGCTATCAGCACCTATAAGGGCCGCCGGGACCTCTGAATATGCAAGCTGATTCTCATTGTGCATTTCTTGTTACGGTACATCCCTAGGGGATGAATGTAACCTAGTTGGGCAATGGCTAGTAGAGAGTTTATCCCATTTAGAACCTTATTGCTTAAACATTAACCATTATAATGTAATCAGTCATTGTAAGTTGTATTAAGTACACCGCCGTAAACAATTTTGGAAATGGTGTTGAAATCCATCGTCTTAATAATCATTTACTGTGTTAACTTTGGATTTCAGAGAACAATATAGAGATACTTGGAATTTAATCCAAAATATACATACATATGTATGTTTAAGGAGGATGTGCTTACAACATAATTCACTTCCGCGTCGACGAAGCGTTGCTATAATTGATATCTTATTGAAAAGCACTTTAAGATAATTAAATTTAATGAAACCGTTGCCAGATTAACACCTAATCAAAAAGTTGAAATATCTCCTTACGTAATTAACTTGATCAGGTATTGAATTTCACGTAATTTGTAATTGAACGGTAATAATATGCCTAGTATACTCATACTACTAATTGAGAAATAACATTAGACATAGTCAATTGGTTGCAAATGACACTGATGAGCGAGGCATCTTGACAACACTTTAGGGAAATAAATTACATTGGTGTATTTATGTAATTAAAACTTGTGTTACATTTTTTCCCTTAACGTGAGTCGTTTAATTAGAATATGTACCACTGAGCTGTTGCTTAAAAATTAAACCTAGATTATTTGCGAGTTAGTTAGAGCTATGATATTAGATACCTAACAATAATTTGCGAGTTCAAGCTGTAACAAAGTGAACAGTGGTTTCAGAAGTGTTAGAATTTAGTGTCTATTCCACTTGTGTCTACTTACTTTATAACGTGAACCTTTTCAACAAATATACGCAAACAAAGTTGTGGGTGACAGTTACCATGTTTTATACTGTAGGAGTTCAAATGTTTCTCGTTGTTAATGTTGTTTATTCAGTTTAGTTAACACACCGCACACAACATATTGTTTTTGCTCGATGACCTTTCGGTTTCTAGGCCTGTCTCGCATGAATTTAGTATCACAAGGATCCCTACATCCTAACTTGACATTTAACCGTGTACAAGATACATAAAAGATCGAAAAAGATAATGTTAGAACAACAGATACGATCGAAAATGTTTTGTGTTTGTATAAACAACATACTTGGGTTAGGGGTTTGATTGTATAGAGATTTTTATACGAAACATTTATCGGTAGAATATGATTGTGTATAAAAATTCCTGGTTTAATTACAATCTAAACTAACACAAACATATTTCTACCCTAAAATTATTGTATTGTTAAATTACTGTATGAATATTTCTGACTCAACACAAAGTTCGTCGAAATAGCTAGTTACAAACAATAGTAAACAACAACAAGTTATGTTTAAGTAAGTAAGTATCTATTAAGTTAAAACACTCACCCATTCCCCAGAAGACAGTTGCAAAGAACGCCACGAGAATGCGGCTCCCGCTTGATGGTACGACCTCCATACCACCTGTTACTTCGCTTCAAATCAAACTTTAACACGACACTCTCCGCTTAAGTTCACAGTGCTCAGTACAATGGAGTCACTCCTTTACCTCAATATTCCAAGTGTTAGTTCGCCACACAATCACACACATCTTATGTCAATTCCACTTCTCACCGAACCTGAAAAAAAGAGCTTATTTTCATAACACCCTCAAACTGCGCTCCCTGTAAGCGTATCATGAGGATTTCAAATGTAATATTAGAAGCCTGATTTGCGTACAAATATAAACCGAGATCCCCAGACAGATTAACGTTACGATGAACTTTTACGAATTCTTTTCCAATGATTGCTTTGGATTGGAAGACTTAAATCGAGTTTAGTACTCGGTAAAGGAATATAATTTGGAATAATAATAAGTGAATCGCTCGTCTATTAATTAAACTTGTACCGCCAAGATATCTACTCTCATTCGTATCGTTCTCATAAATAAAATGTCTAATTTTATTTGGAAGCGTAAAGCCTTAAATTACGAACGTTTCAGAAAGCTTATTAGATTTTATACAAATACATTCACATCGAAAGCGACAACGTGTTTTATGTAGGTCTCAAATATAGCGACGGAGCAACTTGTGTCCGCAATTCAAGTTTTTCTCCTGAAACTTGTAACAAGTTCGCGAGTTTTGATTATTTTTTTGTTACGTAAAAATATATTGTTGTGACAATAACAGAGGCAATTTGGTAACGCAAATTTATTTTGTTTCGGTACATAAATTAGTTTACAATATTAATTAATTTCGTATTGTTTTAGTCATGTTTTAGCGGAAATGTAATTGAAAATTAATGACACGTTGCTTCTACTAGGTTTGTTTGATGAAATGTTAATGATATACGTTTGGGCGCTCGCAAGTATTCTAAAGTCTGAAGGGTCCTACAACATCTGGAACATAAAGGATCGCAGTGAAGAGAGCGGCAACATGAAACACAGCTGTCACCGATCGTCCTGACCAATCTCGTTGCTGGTTCTTTGTCCTCCGTTCCAATTTTACATTTATTCGGGGTTGAGAACCGAGCCTTTCACAGCTCTTATCATATTGACACAGACGGAACATTTAATCCTTCAATTTGGGCTGCCCTTTTCAATATCAAGCTCTAAAGACGAATTTTGAAAGTAAGTAACCGCGTTTAGTAATGTACCTACAAGAGAAATAGAGACTTAAATCTGGGAATATTTTGTGCAGGTCTGTATTAAACGAACGTTCTTTACTTTGAGGAGTTATTGGAAATATCATAAATTTAATTTTGAACGAAGTGTTCAGGTATTTGTAATTTTGCTCAGAGATTGCAATTTTCAAATAAATTTTAATAAGCGTTCAGACTTAAATAAAAGCAAAGAATAACTTTTTGATTAAAGCAGAATATATTATGAGACTAAACCTACATCTTGAATTTAGTGACGCCTAAAAATAGGTAAGTAACTAGAATTGACAGAAATACCCAGATGCAGACATTTCAAATACCAATTCAATTACATTATAAAATGAAATTTAAATTACAAGCGAATTACACGTATTTAGATTAATAAAATTTGAATACATCGAGAAATGACGATATATCAGAACGATATTTGTATACCTTCATCATGTAAGACTCAATAGCTCGACTTTCTATTGTTTTTCTTAATCTTTGAAATCAGATAAAATTCCTAAGTTAAGATTAGAGAATTAAATATAAACCCGTTTCCCGACCCACTTCTATGATTCCAATGCTAATTTTAATACAAAGTTTTCGTATTCAAATATACAACCTATAGACACCAATATCTACATCACAGTGCGACTTTGCTCTCTTGGAACTTTACTCTCTTTCTCTTTACTTCTCTTCTTATCTACACAATGCTTTAATATAACCAAGTCCGTTAATTGTTTAAAAGTTTCAAATGAAGAACTTCACGATTCGCTTGTGTATACAGAGTGCCAAGCACGAATAACTATCGTATTCGTAACGTAATAGTATCGAGCGCGTTCGGCGCTCTGATTGGCCGGCTGAAGTGAACCAACCAATCAGAACGCTTAACTCGTTCGATACTGTTACGATACGAATGCGATAGTTATTCGTGCTTGGCACTCAGTTCTTTAACGTAAAGTTTGACTCGAATGAAAAGGTTTTTATAACATTTTAGCGCTCGCAATCGTGAGCGCTGATTGAGTGGTAAATGTATGGATTAAGTTTGCTTAAACCACAGTAACTTGCAATTAGGGGCTGATTTCTAAAAAGATAGGTTTCTCTTTAAGATAATGGTCATCACTTATTCCTTTTTTATTTTAAATCACAAAAAGGAAATTTTATGTAACTTTAGGTAGGTACAGCTCTTTTTTTTAATTAAACTTAAGTAAAACACTTTGAATAAAAGGAATTACGTGGTATTCGAGCCTTTCACAGTGTGTAACAAAACATAAGTAGGTAGGAATGCGAGTGTAGCCTCATTAATCGAGAAATAGCCAGAAATGTGAATCCCTCACTAATTGAAGGCTTTGTAACTCCGCGCACCCTGTAGAATACCATTGATTTCCTACAGGGTGTTTCACGCGACTGTAGGTACAGTCTGCTACACTTTGGATTAATTGCGTAATATAATTATGATTTACATCCTTAATGACTGAACAACAGTTGTGGTTTGTGAACTAATGCTATAACAACATTAGAAGGTATTTGAAACCGATTAATTATACACGGCCAATTAAATCTTCTATAATTAGCTGGAAACATCTCATCTCTTCCAGTAATCTGAACATACAAACAGATAGTCTTAGATTTAAATATCTTGCTATTTATTAATCGAAAATATTTTATTATTTCTTTTGTTAATTCAACATGCAAAACTAGATTCTTAGGAACAGTATATTTAACCATCCATATTTTTTAAGCTCCTGTACAAGTGAACTACAATGATATAAACCCATGCCACGAATAACATGTAAAGCCGGTCCCGTTTTGATGAGAAAATTCGTAGAACGGGTTTAATCAACCTTTTCGGGAAGTGGAGAGTAAATGATAGTAGCGTTGCGTAATACACCTGAATCTGGTTAAAACTCAGTGCTATCCACGACACGTGAAAACCCCAGAGGCAAAAAAACAATTCTCTTTCATGAAATGTATATTTGCCCGTAACAGTACTGACACACTTGTCTAAAAACAAAAACAGGTCACATCCCGTTTTATGCACAGAGCGCCATAGAGAACGCAACTCGTAGTTTGAAAGTATCCCTATGCTCATAGTGTCAGTGGCCTGTTATAACGACCCTTTAATTAGCAGGGGAATGCAGTGAGTTATTGAAAAACGACACAACACGTTGCTGGGCATGTGGGTAGGCGGGTAGATCAGTGAACAAAAGACGACTACACAAAGAGCAATGGAACACATTTTGCAGAGCGCGTCGCACCGTGTCCCATATTTCCTAACGAGATGATATGCCAACGTTTATTCTTCATGCTTCACATGAATTGCCACCAATGCATTTTGTTCGTGTAAATACATGATACTTTCTCCTTTACTCACTTATTTTATGCTTTTTAATTTTCCTGTCGTCGGCTGAAATGGACCGTTTTTAATGAAGCAACTCGAAATAATTGAATGGGTTGAAACCTTGTACGAATATTCTTTAAATTAAATATTTTACTTTTCCCGTCTTCATAATAAATGGTTATCATAATTAACCTTGTTTGCTTAACGATGAAATAGGAGTCTTGTAAACTTGTAGTTAAGGTAAACTGAGTTACTAGACTTCGAGAAGTTAGGTATTTGTGGTACTTAAGTTTTTGTTTTCTAAAGCTGATACTTTGATTCCCACGTAATGTATGTGTATGCCTAAGTAAGTACCTAGCCACGCATATTTTATTTATTACCTAGGGTTTAGGGCTGAACCCAATTCGGTCTGTGTCTGTTTTTACGATTTTATTTCTTTGAGCTTTCTATATGCGTTCCACTTTCAGAATTTTCGGAAAACCCTAACTTATCTATTTGAAAGACATTCTTTATGTTTGTCTTAACAATGTGTAAAATTTTAGGTACACATACATAATGTAAAACAATATAAGCTCTGTTATAACCAATAAAGAAGAAAATTAAATCTTTGTTTGCTAGTTTCAGAAGGAAAAGGCACATTTAAATAACAAAAAATAAGTGAATCGTCGTTTAATGAAACCCTTAGTGGTCGAGCTCCACTTGACTGCCTTTAAGTTACCTGCTTCAAGAGATTTTGTCAGGAATCAACAAATTTTCCTGAAACCCCGACAATGTAACAATACCCTTTTGAGCGTCTTTATTTAAGAAACGATCGTAACAAAATATCCTATCGAGAAAAACGAAGTACCAATACTAGTAAATAATGACTAAAACTGATCTACCAAAAACTATGCTCATAACCACTGCTTCTGTGAACCTATCAGAGGACACCCGTCTTCTTTACCGGATTAGACCATTAATGATGATTACCTAAAACCTTCAATTAGACCACATTTCTAATTCTTACTAAGTTACCCAACTACGCCCTAAGGGCACCCCTAACATCGGCTTAGGGCGTCGCTGGGTGACTACAACAAGGGTCACTTGGATCAGATCTTAAATTATTTTCGGGGTTTTTAGATTACATGCTCTGGTTGGGCTGCTGCGAACAAGGGTTCGAGGGTAAGTTCGAGATGAAATCTTCAAATATGATATTAGATATAATAATTCGAAATCAGATAATGTACAACCAATATCAATTTTGAGAGCACTGGGATGCATCTTGCTATACACTTCATGGATGTTCTTGTTCTTGAAGAATAAGATATACCGATATTATATTTAATTAATTAAAAAAATGACTGAAGCGCTATTTCAGTGATATATACCATTTGCTATGGATATATTGGAATTTTTTTTTTATTTAGAATCCACTGTAAATAGCACAGAATCCAAACCTGTCGGAAACCAATTTCGTGCACACATGGTACTCATAATAAAAGTGATCAAACATTTGT